CTCAAGACTCTGTGGTATGCCGTGGAACCCACCCGCACAAAGCAGCCGCTTTCTCCCCAGGGACCGATCCCTGCCGTTTGGCGATCCGTCGTAATTCTGGGAGGTAGAATCAGAGAGTGGAGAAATTCTCGGCCCTGCGTATACACGTACGCCAAGGTGTGTAGCCACTAGCTGTGGTTGTGGCGTGCTCGGGTACTGCGACGGTTGCGCGGCCCACGCAAATGACTGGAGACGCCTTTATATCTGACGCAACCTCCCCTCTCCCGAGCCAGCCAAAGAGGATTCTGGGTAGATGGATCCACGGTCCAGAAGCCGTGACTTCCTGACAGAGCCGGCTGTGAGGGGCCTTTGAGACCTCCCCTTCCAAGAAGTGTCCGAACCGGAGGTCTGAACAGGAAGGCTTCTTCCTTCTCGCCCTAGATCTGTGGGCGTCATGCCGTGTGAGAAGGGGAAAGCATATTTGCACCAAGCCCCGAGACACAGGCGCTTTGGTCCGCCGCTACTTCCCCGGCGTCAGAACCAGCTTCCGGGCTGAGACGTAAACTCTGCGCTGGCCAGTGCTCCCTCTAAGCTGTGGAGTCTCGTGAGCAAACGTTCTACTTCGTGAGCTCCTGGCATTAAAGTTGCGAGCAAGCATGAATCAGTTTGCTCTGGAGCCGTCCCTTCCTGAGCCGAGACAAAAAACGTGTGCGCCGGAGGCTAAAGAACTGTGAGCTGGCTCACACTGACTCAGCTTAGAGGGAACACTGGCCGCTGACCCTTCCTCTCTCCCACCCCTGCCCCAGTGGTCGGATGTCCTGGAGAAGTTCTGCGAGGCCGAATTCTCCGTGAAGACCAAGCCTTACCCCTGCTGCAAGCTGGAAGGCGCCAGCCAGGAGGACTGCTTTGCTCGCATGGCCCCTTCCCCGAATTACGAGCAGCAAGGAGAGGAGCCGAGCGACTGCACCCCGAGTGACCCCTCCCAGTGCAAGCCCAAAGACCTGATCGCCGCTCACAAGCTGCCCAAGATCGCCTTCCCTCCGGGCAGGCCCACCGATGCCAACATCAAGAACATCTGCAAGCTGCGCAAATTCCGGCCTGTCTACCCCGAGAGCACCCTCCCGAAGTCAGGCTTCGGCTGGTTTGTGCGCCAGGCCCGGGCAATAAACCGCCTGGAAAAGGAATTCAAGAACTGTTGTCGGAAGGAGGACGTCGTCGGCTGCGCCTACGGAAGGGTGAGTGAGCGGGGAGAAGCCGCGGCTGGCCCTCGCGAGTCACCCACGGGTTGGCGCTGTTTCCCAGGATCCCTTGCTCCCAGAATCACCAAGCATTCCGCACCTCGTGGGCCCCGTCACAAACGTGGGCCTTGCTCTCAAGCGAAGTACCTTAGCGCCACACGAGTGGGCGAGTGACCTCGTTGGGGGGAAATATCGAGTGTGCGATTTAGACAAGCAGCCAAGACTCCTGGCGTCACCTTTTCCCTGACAGCGGCTTTACTGTACCTTTAGCAGTTAGGGATGCCAAGCCTCCAGGGGGGACCTGGGGACCTGGAATTACAGATCATCTCCAGACCAATGTTCCCTCTGAGCTGAGTCAGGGTGAGCTAGCTCACAGATTTTTAGCCTCCGGCTCACAGATTTTTGTCTCAGCTCAGGATGGAGGGCTCCGGAGCAGACTAATTCATGGAGTAGCCCAATCGCTCGCTCGCAACTTTAATGGCAGGAGCTCACAAAGTAGAATTTTCGCTCACAAGACTCCACAGCTTAGAGGGAACATTGCTCCAGACTGTAGAGAAAATGGCTGCTTTGGAGGGAGGACTTTTTGGCATTGTGTCCTACGGAGGTCCCCGTCCTCCCCGGACTCCACACACACACACCCAATCTCCAGGAGTTTCCCAACCTGGATCTGGCAACTCTACCCCCCCCCCACGGTCCCCCATCAACGACCGGGGGACGACGACGACCTGGCTGTGGAAACCTGAAATCCAACAATAAAAACGTAATGTATATAGTATAAAAAGATACATGTATTTATTAGCAAAGAATTAAGAAGCATAGAAGGGCCCAATCACACCTCTTGTAAAAATGCCAAAATCTAGCACACGAGGGCCAATGGACTTGACCTGACGCGTTTCGGCCTGTGGAGGCCTTCTTCCGAGGTCAAACGCAATGAGGGGCATATTGGCTTATATCATAGTACAATACAATCATACAATTATGCAACACAGATACAAGATGGACCAGAACAGAACTGTTCCAAAGTGAAACCACTAGGCACAGAATAAAAGTACAAATGAGGCCTCCAAAGATGCAGTCACATGGCCAATGATGGAAGGGATCTTGCAGGTCATCTAGTCCAACCCCCTGCACTCTGCAGGAGCATAGCCGAAAGATAGCCCTACAACATACCCGAAAGATGGTCATCCAGCCTCTGCTGGACGATACATGCATTTATTACATGTATTTATTAACAAAAAATTTAAAAACATACGGGGGCCCAATTACACCTCCTGTAAAAATGCCAAAATCTAGCACACCAGGGCCAATGGACTTGACCTGACGCGTTTCGGCCTGTAGAGGTCTTCTTCAGAGGTCAAACGCAATGAGGGGCACATTGGCTTATATCATAGTACAATACAATCATACAGTTATGCAACATAGATACAAGATGGACCAGAAAAAGAACTGTTCCAAAGTGAAACCACCAGGCACAGAATAAAAGTATAAATGGGGCCTCCAAAGATGCAATCACATGGCCAATGATGTTTCACTGATACTAATTTCTTGTCCAGAAAGTGCCTTCCAATGATTGTTTAGCCAAAGCGTCCTCGGTAAAAGTTGTCCTTTAAGCTGCTCCTCATTGTGTTTGACCTCTGAAGAAGGCCTACACAGGCCGAAACGTGTCAGGTCAAGTCCATTGGCCCTGGTGTGCTAGATGTTGGTATTTTTACATGAGGTGTGATTGGGCCCTTATATGCTTTTTTAACTCTTTGTTAATAAATACATGTATCTTTTTATACTATATGCATTAAGTTTTTATTGTTGTCCCTCTATTCTGTTTGACGTCCCTTTTTAGGTTCTGGATCCCAGGTTTCAGGGTTAAATGTGTCCCCCCCCCCCTTTTTTCGAAACCTGAAGTCCAACAGGTGTAGCTTTCTTCAACTTGGAGATCCAATGATGATGAGCTGGAGTTTCTGCCCGTGAAAAGGTGGCAGCATGGCCCAGAATCCTTGTCTGTATGGTTCTGAGGTGGAGAAAGAACACTGATTCCTGGGTGCTGTTACCTCAAGTGGCGGGGAGTTCCAGAGGCGATGCGCCCCCAGGTTTAGCTGGATGAGAGAGGCAAGCGAGCAGGTCCTCTGGCAGGTCTCCTCCCAGGTGAGGTCCTTCCACAAGCCCTGCTAGGCGGCTCCGTCTCTCGCTAGAAGCCCTCTTCTCCCTCTGTCTGCTCGAAAAGACTCTGGGCCATTCCCCACCACCACACACAGCCTTCCTCGCAGATGCCTGCCCTGCGTTCCTGGGTCCCCCTGCCTGCAGTCACGATTTTTGTCAAAGCCCTGGCCACCGACTTCGTCGAGTCACCAGGTTGACCAAATAACCCAAGTCCCTTGATCCCCCTCACCTCCCAAGCAGTTGTTTGGGTATCCTGAAGTCACTACTGATTGGCAAAGGGGTGCATAAAAAGCTCCCTCTTCAGTGATAATCAGGGGTCATTTCGTAGAAAAAGAGGTGCAGGAGCTTATTAGCATAGCTCATTCGCATAGCTCATTTGCATATGCCACCCCCCCTGACATCACCGGAAGTGTGTCAGAAGGCCACCCCCACCACTCAGGCTCCACTGGACTCTTTTGGATTGCTAGCTATTGGGGGGGGGGACGTGCAGATCTGTCCTCGCAGAGGAGGGAGAGCTTGTACCTGAATAAAACTTGGTCTTAAAGGTGCCACTGGACTGTTTTGGACCGGGGGGGCGGGGGGGGGGGGGTGGGGGGCGCTGCAACTTACCTGGCTGCTTCTTGTTCTGACTGAGGGCTGCTGGGAGCAGGGGGCGGGGCTTGTTGCATGTGCCCACCCCCTGTGCTCTTTACTGCCGGAGCTCCGCTCCCGTGCGCTCCTGCAGGAAATGACCCCATAATATTTACAATGCTTTTAATAGTCCTTATCCCTTATTTGATATGCATTGGTGCCCTGTGACACACCTGGGGCTATGGACTTCTCATCTCCTATCCTGCTCCACCAAGCAGTGTTCCCTCTAAGCTGAGTTAGTGTGAGCTAGCGCACAGTTTTTTAGCCTCCAGCCACCAAGGTAAAGTTAAATTTTACAAAGCCAGAGGTTACAGGGTCTCACGAGGTCCAGGAAGTTGAGGGGTTCTGGCCTCCAGTCCAAGATACATGGAGGTGTGTGTGTGTGTGTATTTATTTATGTGTAGGATGTGAGGTTCAATGCTGGCTTCAGTATGGTCAGGGGAGAAACCATGCTCCAGCAGGGCTATTTTTGGGCAGGAACGCACAGGAACAGAGTTCCGGCTGGCTCCCGAGTTGGCCACGCCCATCAGGAACTCATTAGCATAATAGGCCACGCCCAACAGCAGGAACTCATTAGGATTGGCTGCATTAGGGGTGTGTGGCTTAACATGCAAAGGAGTTCCTGCTACAAAAAAGCCCTGGGTTTTGACAACAAACAAGGTAAACAAAATAAGAAGCAAAAGGTGGGTGTGGCTGGATAACTACACTTCTGGTAACATGAGGGTGCGGCCTAATGTGCTAATGAGCTGTGCTGTCAGGGGTGTGGCCTAATATGCTAATGAGTTTCTGGTGTTGGGTGTGGCCTATTATGCTAACGAGTTCCTGCTGGGCTTTTTGTACAAAAACAGCCCTGCCCAGAGGCACTCTTGTTTTCATTCTGGGACTGAAATCTTGCTCTGGCTCTGAGTCCGAGCCCTAATCCGGATTTAATCCTGTTGCCTTTTGAGGCAACAAACCTGCTTCCAGGCCAGGGGAAAGGAAAGCTTCTGGGTTTGCCAACTCCGACGTGGGAATTTCCTGGAGATTTCGGGGGCGGATCCTGGAGAGGGTGGGGCTTGGAAGGGGGAGGGGCCTCAGCAGCAGGGTACAGTGCCGTCGAGTCCACCCTCCCGTCTAGCCCTTTTCTCCGGGGAACCGATCCCTATAGCTCGGAGATGAGTTGCAATCCTGGCCCCGTCTGGAGGTTGGCAACTCAGTCGACCACTCTTTGTGACCCAGACCCTGTCCTCTGGCTCCCCTGCTTTCTGGGGAGGAGCGGGGGGTGCCTCCTGCCACCCGCCACCACCTCTCCTTAGCATGCCTTTTGCTTTCCTCTCCAGTGGGAAACGGTCCTGACTCAGTTCTGCAAGAAGGAGGGCGCCGTGAAGACCAAGCCCCACTTCTGCTGCAAGGAGCCGGAGGGGGAGGACCGCTTCGCTTGCTTCACCAACCAGGCCCCCTTCCCGGCCTACGACAGGGAGATCCGGGTGGTCAACCTGGCCGAGGTCACCCCTGCACTCCTGGACCTGCTCTGTGGCCAGCACACTCTTCTATCCAAGCAGTAAGTCGGTCTTTTCTTTCCTTTCCTCTCCTGGAGTCATCGAATCATACAGCTGGAAGGGACCTTCAGAGTCACAGAATCACAGAATGTTAGAGTTGGAACTGGGACCTTGCAGGTCATCTAGTCCAACCCCCTGCCCTCTGCAGGAGCATTATTCCAGTCTGAGCCACAGCCCCCAGCCCATGCTAACGGAAAATGTTATTCCAGCTGGGGGTGGGGTGGGGGGCTGCAGATTGAGACCGACGTACTCACAAAGGAGACCGCAGCTGGGCATTGCTTCTTCCAACCCACCAAGGTTTCTTTATTTAAAACCTTTATTGGCCACCTTTCTAACCACGCGGAAATCAAGGTGGCCATAGGAAAGCCCAGAGCCATCACAGACGAAATCATCTGAGAGTGCTGCGTGGCAGGGCAGAGTGGCGTCTCTGACCCATGAAACGTTCTGCTGCTTTGAATTTTCTCGCATGGTCTGAGCCAAAGGCATAGAATCCTCGAGTCGGAAGGGACCTCCAGGGTCATCTAGTCCAACCCCCTGCACAAGGCAGGAAATTCACAAATACCTCCCCCCCACACACACACCCAGTGACCCCTCCTCCATGCCCAGAAGATGACCCAAAACCTCCAGGGATCCCTGGCCAAACTAGCCTGGAGAAAAATTGCTTCCTGACCCCAAAGTGGTGATCGGCATTTCCCTGGGTGTGTAAAAAAGGGCCACAAGAACCAAGCACTGAGGCAACCCTTCCTGCCCTCTCTCTCCTGATCTGCCTCAGTTCACAGAATCAACATGGCTGTCAGACGGCCATCTAGCCAGTTTGGTGCAGTGGTTAAGAACACGGACTCTAATCTGGGAGAACCGGGCTTGATTCCCCACTCCTCCACTTGCACCTGGCTGGATGACCTTGGGCAAGCCGTAGTTCCATCAGAGCTGTCTTTGAAAAAGAGCTCTCTCAGCCCCACCTGCCTCACAGGGTGTCTGTTGTGGGGAGGGGAAGGAGTTTGTAAGCCGCTCTGAGACACCTTTGGGTAGTGAAGGGAGGGGTATAAATCCAATCTCTTCTTTTTCTTCTTCCTCCTCCACGTGCACCTGGCTGGATGACCTTGGGCAAGCCGTAGTTCTGACAAGAGCTGTTCTTGAAAAAGAGCCGTTTCTGTCAGAGCTCTCTCAGCCCCGCCTGCCTCACAGGGTGTCTGTTGTGGGGAGGGGAAGGGAAAGGAGTTTGTAAGCCGCTCTGAGACACCTTTGGGTAGAGAAGGGTGGCGTATAAATCCAATCTCTTCTTCTTCTTCTTCTGCTTCTTCTTCCTCCTCCATTCGCACCTGCTGGATGACCTTGGGCAAGCCGTAGTTCTGATAAGAGCTGTTCTTGGAAAAGAGCAGTTTCTGTCAAAAGCTCTCTCAGCCCCACCTGCCTCAAAGGGTGTCTGTTGTGGGGAGAGGAAGGGAAAGGAGTTTGTGAGCCGCTCTGAGACACCTTTGGGTAGTGAAGGGCGGGGTATAAACCCAATCTCTTCTTCTTCTGTTTGGAAACCCCCAAAGAAGGAGAGCCCACCACCTCCCGAGGAAGCCTGTTCCATTGAGGAACCACTCTAACCGCCGGGAAGTTTTTACATAATGTTTAGCCGAAAACTCCTTTGATTTAATTTCAACCCACTGGTTCCGGTCCGACCTACTGGGGCAACAGAAAACAACTCCGCCCCATCCTCTGTAGGACAGCCCTTCAAGTACTTGAAGATGGTGATCCTATCACCTCTCAGTCGTCTCCTCTCCAGGCTAAACATACCCAGCTCCTTCAACCCCTCCTTGGATTTGGGTCTCCAGGCCCCTCACCATCTTCGTTGCCCTCCTCTGGACACCTTCCAGCTTGTCTATAGCCTTCTTAAATGGTGGTGCCTGAAACCGAACAGAATCCTCTAGCTGAGGTCTAACCAAGCCCCCTTCCTTGTTGTTCTGTAACGGGACACCCCTCTGGAATTTTCACGACAAGAGAGGTTTAAAACAGAGGGGGGGGGGCTGCTGGTCTGCGAGCCTGCTCTCCCCCCTCGTGGCCGCAACTCCAAGTGCGCTTTTTGGACCTTTTCCATCTGGCCCTTGGGAGGCCCATTCCCCTCTTCCCTTCTCGGCAGAAGGCCTCCTGTACAGCACCTCGCACCCTGATTGGGGGACGAATGAGGAGGCCCCGAAAGCACCACACTGGCTGCCTATAACATTCCGGATTTGGTTCAAGGTGCTGGTTCTTACCTTTAAAGCCCTTTATGGCCAGGGACCTGCATACCTGAGGGGCCGCCTTTCCCCATATGTCCCCCGGAGAGTGCTGCGATCGGGGATCCAGAATCGGCTGGCCCTCCCGAGTCTCAAGGAGGCCAGGCTAGTGGCAACCAGGGCCAGGGCTTTCTCGGGGGTGGCTCCACTCTGGTGGATTGAGCTCGCGGAGGAGATCAGGGCCCTGCGGGACCTGCTGCAGTTCCGCAGGGCCTGCAAGACGGAGCTCTTCCGCCAGGCCTTTGGAGCTGCCACCACCACGGACATCTGACAGAGCAAGCCCAACCACCCTGGGTCCCCCAATCACAGCCCGACCCGATCTCCCTGGACATCTGAAGACGATTAAGGAGCTGACTGTACACCGAGGAATTAAATACTAGCACTTTAATATGTTGTTCTATTTATGGTTTTAAATATGTGCAGAGGTCCTTTCGTAGAAAAAGAGGTGCAGGAGCTCATTAGCATTACTCATTATCATAACTCATTTGCATATGCCACACCCCCTGACATCACCGAAAGTGTGTCAGGAGGCAACACCCACCGCTCAGACTCCACTGGACTGTTTTGGTTTGATAAAGAGTGTAGATCTTTGAAAAGTGCTCTTAATGCTATGTATATCAAATATAGGTGTGATGAAGATAAGGACACCCTAGAGGACATGAAAATCTTAAAGAAACAATATAAGGCCTTGATACAGCGAAAAAAGAAGGCCGCCATAGCCCTTGCATGGGAGCAATTAAGCTCAGCATGCAGAGATAAAAATCCCTGTTTATTCTGGAATATGGTCTCTAATTGTAATACTAGACCTCCCTCAGTGTGCAGTAATACAATTCTCCCTGAAACTTGGGAAAATTATTTTGAGCAGCTCTACCAAGGTCAGGATGAGGCTGCTTCAGAGGTCCTGGATATAGCTACCTTACCCTCTTGGTCCCCTGTGCATCCTCAAGAAATTAAGAACCTCATACAGACCCTGAGTTCCAACAAAGCCCCAGGTTCTGATCTTATATGTGCAGACCTGATCAAGAGGAACCTCGAGTGGTGGGTTCCAGTTCTTGCTACCTTATTTACAACTATAGATAGAACTGGTAGAATACCTAAAGACTGGGGGGTGGCAATAATAGTGCCTATTTACAAGAAAGGGAACAGAGAGGATCCTGTTAATTATAGGCCGATCAGTCTGCTAAGTATAATAAGTAAGCTTTATTCAAAACACTTACAGTGGAAGCTAAAAGACTGGATGGAGCAGGAAGGTCTTTTGAGACAGGAACAAGCAGGCTTTAGAGAGGGACGGTCATGTTTAGATCAGTGTGTGATATTGAATCACTTGATTTCCAAATACTCTTCGAATTCTTTAACCTCATTGTATGCAGCTTTCGTAGATTTTAAATCCGCATTTGATTCTGTCTCAAGAACAATCCTATGGGAAAAGTTGAAATCTTCTACGATAGATAGGCGCTTACTGTTTTTATTGAGAGCTCTTCACAAAAATACTTTTATTAGGGTACGATGTAATCCTCAAGGTCATCTTACTAGGATGATCAGGTCAGATAGAGGAGTAAAACAAGGATGTATCTTGGCACCTCTTTTATTTAATATTTACATCAATGACATGGTACAGTTTTTGTACAAACCTGAATTTCATCCTCCAAAGCTTGCAGACAGACACATCTCAATCTTGCTTTATGCAGACGATGCCGTCTTGCTTTCTAGGACCCCTAAGGGACTTAAGAGAGCTATGTGTGCTCTTATGCAATACTGTAATCAGAATTGCTTAGAGATAAATTATATGAAGACTAAAATAATGGCTTTTGCCAATAGGCCTAGGATGTTTAAATGGGTTATTGACTCTCGTACCATTGAGCAAGTTCGTTGCTATAGATACCTTGGAGTTGTATTTCAGTCGTCCGGTCATATGAAAGGCCATGTTGATTACCTGTCAGCTAATGCAAAGAAAAGCGCTGGAGCTATTCAAAGGTTCTTCTGGTCCAAAGGAGGTCGTAACTTAGAAGCTGCCATTAAGTTATTCACTGTAAAGGTATTACCCCAATTATTATATGGAGCTCCTTTGTCTCTCCTGACAAACTTGACCTTACTTGAAAGAACACAATCGAAATTTTTAAGAGCTATATTTCAAGTTCCAACAAGCGTTTCAAATGCTGCAATCCGTTTAGAGGCTGGCCTGGTTATGGTCGAGGCAAGATTGTGGATTGCTGCATTTTACTATTGGTTAAAATTGATTTTTTTACCCATTGGCCTTTCCCATACTATGATGCAAGATAACTTTGTTCCTTCATGGCGGAAAAAGATAGAAGATAAACTGGTCTGTTATGGTTTTTCAAAACAGTTTATTCTGTCTTTGGGACACGATCGGGCTAGATCAGTTCTAAAACAAAGAATATTAGATGTCGAACGACAGATGGACGTGAGCAGGATTAGGAGCCCTGTATTTGATGTAAGTTCACTTAACAAGATAGCTGTGAGACCTTACATCAAATATTTAGATATCAGCAATCATAGAAGAATTTTTACCCTATTAAGATACAACGCCTTACCCTCAGCCATAATGGAGGCCAGATTTACTAGATCATTGAGGAAAAGTTGTATTTGTGGGATGGGATCTGATGAAACATTGGAACATGTAATTTTCGATTGTCTTATATATCATAATACCAGGGAAGTTTTGATCAAGCCTATAGTTAATTCCTTTCCAGGTCGTGATAGAAGGATACTTTTGTCAATTATGCTGGCAGGAGATAATCAAAAGTTGACTAGGATGGTTGCCAAATTTGGTTGGTTGGCATACCAAACTAGGAAAGAGATAAAGGACAGATAGGCCTAAACCTAATTTTTAATCAAAATTCTGATTCTATTATTTCTGTATTTTAACGTTTTTAGATCCTATTTATAATTTTAGATGCCGATATATTTTATAATTTTACTGCTCCTGTAACTGTATTTAATTGTCTTCTATTATACTGGTCTATGACCGTAATAATAAACTTGTACTTGTTTCTTAGTTGATACTGATCCAAATGTGACGTTGGCAGTGGCAAGGTTTTTATCTGTAACCTTGGGTGGTATTAAATGAATTGACTCTTTTATGCAGTTAATATATATTTAGTAACCAAATTGCTTAATTTTGTGAAATTGTAACTGTAATTGTAATGTACTGTATGTATATATATGTTGTATTTTGTATTATACCCTATTTGCTTATGACTTGTGGGTCTATGAGCAAAAAAAATGAATGAAATGGAGTCAATCAGGCACCCTACCCTACCTATTAACCCAGAGGTGGCCCATCTGGATTAACGTAAGAGCCACATAGAATAACTGTCAGATGTCTGAGAGCCGCTAGACATGAGCAAATATTGCACACACGATTTTTATTGGAAAATATGCAAATTTGCTCTTTGTTAATATTAGGGGGTGTGGCCTTATGACACACTTCCGGTGATGTCAGGGGGTGTGGCATATGCTAATGAGTTATGCTAATGAGTTCCCCTAGCTCTTTTTCTATGAAATGACCCCTGGATTGTATATTGTATTATTGCACTGCATTGTTTTATAGCGTTTGTGTAAGCTGCCCTGAGCCAGCCTTGCTGGCAGGGCGGGGTGAAAGTCAAATAAATAAATAAATAAATAAGAATATTTGGTGCTCAAGATAGGCCCGAGCGACTTCAAAGCATTCACTCGCCGTTCTCCCTGTATGTGCTGGTATTTTCGGTCCATCTGTTTTACAACTCACATGCATGTGGCCTCATGTCTTTCTCCAGGAAACACATGCCTGCTTTGGTGCAGAACATCACACAGCCCTGTTGTGAGCTGCAGGGGGATGAGAGGACACAGTGTGCCCAGCAAGAGGTGAGAGTCGCTGGGTGAGGGAACAGTCACTGGCCTGTCAGAGCTGAGCCCCAGAGGTTACTACTGTCTCAGTTCAAGTGTGTTGATGAGATTTTTGGCACAGAGGTACTGGGGGCAGGGGTCGTTTCGCAGAAAAAGAGCTAGGGGAACTCATTAGCATAACTCATTAGCATATGCCACACCCCCTGACATAATTGGAAGTGTGTCATAAGGCCACACCCCCTGACATCACCGGAAGTGTGTCATAAGGCCACACACACCGCTCACAACGATCCCGGCCGCCGCCAGCCTTGCAGCTCCACTGCCGAGCCCCATGAGGGGCCCGGTGGTGGACCTGCAAGGCCGGCGGGAGTGCAAGGAAGCCCCGCGAAGGCCCTCCCTGGCCCCAGGCAGGCAGGGGTGGGGAGAGGCAGGGAGGAAGCAACTTACCCTCCCTCTTCTCCTGCCTCCTCCTGGCTGAATGAGGGCCGGAAGCGGGGCGGCCGGAAGCAGGGGGCGTGGCTTCGTCATGTGCCCCGCCCCCCGTACCTCACCCGGGGGAACTGCGATCCCCCCCGATCCCCCCCGAAATGACCTCTGACTGGAGGGGTGAGGTTTCAGGAATCAGGCTCCCGTAGCTAGAAATTTTGGGTTGGTGGGGCATGAGGGGATTTTGTGGGGCAGCAGGGGCGGGCGGGGGCGGGAGGGACCGCCAGTCCCAGTCCTCTCAGAACTCTCTCAGCCCCGCCCACCTCACAGGGGGGTCTGTCGTGGGGAGAGGAATGGAATGTGATCGCAAGTCGCTTTGAGACTCGTGGAGGTAGAGAAGAGCAAAGAGTAAGAACCTCCTCTTCCCCTTCGCCCGCTGACGTGCCTTTTCTCTCCCCAGAAATCTCAGTTCATCACCACCCTCTGCAACTCCCCCAAAGCCTTTTGGAAGGACACAAAGAAATGCTGCTCTCAAGCCAAGGATGCCGCCCGCGTCACCTGCTTCGATGCCGGCTACCTGAGCAACGTCACCCTGGCCAGCACAGAGCAGCCCCTCCAGCCCACCGAGCCCACAGAATAAATCGCAAAAGGACAGCTCGCGTACTTCTGAAAGACACCTTGCCCTCCTTGCTGGCCTGCCCCACTCGGGGAGCGAGTCAGCTGTTTTCTCGGCCTGTAGACTGTCAGATCTGTAAGTCATCCCCCCCACCCAGCATGCGCTGGCCTTCCGTTCAAGGGGGTGTCTCACACACACACACCAGCTTCATGCACTTTATCTCTTGGGCAGTTGTGACAGACGAGTCCCCACTTTTAGGCCCGTGAGCCTTCCTCCCATTCCGTCTGACTTTGCCTTCCATGCCGGAAGTGCTGGAAGGCTTCTGTTTCACCCAGGGAGGAAGCAGGAGAGGCAGTTGCCGTTGGGTACCCTGCCTCTTGGTCTCTTTGTAAAGTTATGTCATTCCCACCAAACTGAGCATCTCCATGTCTTGGTGAGAACTCGGTTTCCCCTTCCCCCCCCCTTTGAGTCCTGCACTCTGTTTTGTTTAAAGCCAGCACCGCAAAAGAGGGCAGGGTTTGCTTTTGGACCTCTGTTCCATTGAAAGGGAGCCGGTTGGCCTCCAGCGAGTTCACCTGGTGCCAATTTCGTGTGGAGGCAGCCGTGCAGGAACGAGGCCTGCACGACTGGAAGAGGGGATTTAGCCGCGAGCCGCTTTTCTGCGGCGCTTCAGAAGCGTAGCATCGCCGGCAGACCAGAAGAACGGTGTGGTCGTGACTGGGAACGACCTGGAGCAGACGTGAGTCCGAAAGGCAGGAGAGCTATTTGGCTGGCATTTCCCTCTGTCAAGCCGCATTTCTGCATCTCGGTGGCTCAGTCATCTCCCCCCTGCTGCTGGCAACGTGTTTTTATATCCTAGTGCAGTGTTTGCAGACAGCTCTGCCAGAGGCACAGGGTTCCAATAAACCCTTTTTATGGAAGAATAATCTCAATTGTCTGACTTGTTTTTTCTGTCCTCCTTCCTACACTCCCCCAAGAGCATCCCCCGTTACGTTGATTGCACGGATGGGCCCATTTGCACGAGCACTCGAATAAGGATCATTTAGTAGGATAACAGCTCCAAGGACACATAACACAAAAGGTTAAGGGGTTCAGAGAAAAAGACAACCAGTGCAGGGTGGGCGCATGTCACGGTTCAGGTGGGGTGTCACCTGACGCTGCCACCACTCTGGTTTTAGGATCCCCTGAGAAGGCCCAGAGCACCCTCCCGATACCTTCAGACCTCCCTTTTGGCTGAATAATGTGCGGAGTAAACAACAAGGAAAAGGTTTATTTTTACAGGAGGTCAATATGGGAAACAAACAAGGTGCAAGAACCAGGGGTCATTTCGTAGAAAAAGAGGTGCAGGAGCTCATTAGTATAACTCATTAGCATAACTCATTTGCATATGCCACATCCCCTGACATCACCGGAAGTGTGTCAGAAGGCAACACCCACTGCTCAGGCTCTACTGGACTGTTTTGGATTGCTAGCTATTGGGGGGGGGGCATGCAGATCTGTCCTCGCAGAGGAGGGAGAGCTTGTACCTGAATAAAACTTGGTCTTAAAGGTGCCACTGGACTGTTTTGGACCCGGGGGGGGGCTCTGCAACTTACGTGGCTGCTTCTTGTTCTGACTGAGGGCTGCTGGGAGCAGGGGGCAGGGCTTGTTGCATGTGCCCACCCCCTGGGCTCTTTACTGCCGGAGCTCCGCTCCTGTGCGCTCCTGCAGGAAATGACCCCTGGCAAGAACAATATCAGTAAGGGGGTGAAAAGAAAAGAAACCGAATGCCCTAACGTGTCTAGACTTACTGTCCCTACCTAGCTCACTGTCTCAAGTGGGCCTCAGTCTGCTCACCCTTCCTCTCGGGATGAGGGTCTCTTCCCCGCAGCAGCCTCAGTCCCTTCTGGCTCTGCCCTCTGGGAAGAAAAGAAGAGCTCCTCTTCTGTACCAGCTCTTTTGTTATAAGTCCCCTTTCTCTGTGATTGGCTAAAATTGGCGCCAAAACCTCTCAGGGGCTTCTGGGAGTTGTAGGCCTGGCCTCCTCCCACTGCTACTCAGGCTCCCTGGGCCTGCTAGGCCTCTAGTTGCACAGCCCAGATCATGACAGCGCATCATAGATTATTATAGCAGTCTGGAGAAAACAGGGACCGAGAAGATTTAACCTCCTTTGCTCATAAAATTCAAGGTATCCTTGGAGCAGGCAGTGCGATCAGGATGTGTGACAGCATTTCCTCCTCATACCATGGTTAACTAGCTTATGGGACTCACTGCCACAAAGTGTGATGTTGGCTACTGGCTTAAATTACGTTTGTTAAAAAAAAAAGTGATGAGCCATAATACCAAATAGAACCTTGGGTGCTATTTGCCATAATACCATAATAGCCATAATACCAAATAGAATTTTCAGAAGAAGAAGAAGAGATTGGATTTATACCCCACCCTTCACTTAGGAGTCTCAAAGCGACTTACAAACTCCTTTCCCTTCCCTTCCCCACAACAGACACCCTGGGAGGTAGGTGGGGCTGAGAGAACACTGACACAAACTGCTCTTTTTCAAGGACAGCTGTGCCAGAGCTTGTGACTGACCCAAGGTCACATCAGCAGGTGCAAGTGGAGGAGTGGGGAATCAAGCCCGGTTCTCCCAGATTAGAGTCTGCACACTTAACCACTACACCAAACTGTATACTTCTAATTCCACATGCTTCCTGGGGGGGGGGGAGAACTCACACTCATACTGAGCATCTCATCTGGAGGGTTTGAAGAGCTCCCACCTCCAGGGAGAAAGTGAGAGACCCGGTCCATTCTGCATTTAGCATTCACTCCGCATTTTCCCAGCACTCGACCTGGTTCCCCCTTGCCTCGGAATATCTATTTTCATTGCATTGCCTCGAATCCCGGCTAGTGTCAGCTTGCCATCTGTTTTGTTTCAGCCCTCAGGCCTGCATCGGTATGCAGACTTTCCTGTGTCAGTACTTGCCTCAGTGGGTCATTAGCCGCCTGAGCCAAGTAAATCACAGCGAGGTGATAAATACAGAGGGGGAAATCAGGGCGGGGGAACTGACAGAGGTCAAGGAAGCCATGTCAACTTGTCTGCTTACCGTTCCCTTCGAATCGGAAGCAGAGGGAGGAAAAGGCGCCGCTCAGAACCACATTCAGATACCCCGGGGCAATGCCGTACTGACTGCGAAGTCACCCCTGAACGGCCATAAATCTATGCAGAAGGTACCACAAAGCCCGATGAACGGCTTTAGAACGGATAAAAGGAAGTCCTTCTTCACCCAAAGAGTGATTAACACCTGGAATTCACTGCCACAGGAAGTGGTGGCGGCTACAAGCATGGACAGCTTCAAGAGGGAATTAGATAAGCATCTGGAGCAGAGGTCCATCAGTGGCTATTAGCCACAAGGTATAGATAGGGGCTCTGGGGCAAGTGATGCTCTGTCTTCTTGGTCTTCAACAGTGGGGGCTTCTCATGTCCTGGCCCCACTGGTGGACCTCCTGATGGCACTGGTATTTCTGGCCACTGTGTGACACAGAGTGTTGGACTGGATGGGCCTTTGGCCTGATCCAACATTGGCTTCTCTTATGTTCTTATGTTAACAAAGAAAGTGAGAGCGACATGCACTGCAGAGGATTAACCTCCAGACGTGGCTGTGGAAAAACTGTGAGGGAACAGATGGGTGCGGAATCGGCCACTGAAAGGCTTCCGGGCACACCTCGTTTTTCAGCACCCCCTCCCAAGCAATGAGGCAGAAGATGTGCTGATGTTTGAGAAACCAGGGGGAAGAAATGCAGCTGTTCACCACCAGGGGGCGCCTCAGACTTTGCACTGTCCAGCTTTGGAAGCCGCCAGTCCCGTCTGTGGTGCCAGATCCTTAGTCCCATTTCCATTTATTCCCTAGCAGGACTGGCGTTTCTTGGCTCCGTCCTGTGTCGACAGACCTCTCAGGCTAGGTGCAGTGCCCTGGGATGGGGAGGAAGTCCTCAGTGCCTCTAGTTCCCCGCTTGGAGGGGCGTGACCATGAGAGAACACCTCTGCCCTGGGCTCTGGTAACATGGGACCTAAAGCAACTCCAGCCTCCAGCTAAAAAGCTCCGGAGAGAGGAGTGAAACTGGAACTATGTGTGCGGACTCAAATCTGGGAGAACCGGGTTTGATCCCCCCACGCCTCCACATGCAGCCAGCTGGGTGACCTTGGGTCAGTCACAAGTTCTCTCAGAGCTGTTCTCTCACGAGCAGTCCTCGAAAGAGCTCTCTCAGCCCCACCGACCTCACAGGGTGTTTGTCTGTTGTGGGGAGGGGAAGGGAAAGGGGTTTGTGAGCCGCTCTGAGACTCCGAGTGAAGGGCGGGGTATAAATCCAATCTCCTCCTCCCCCTCGTGCAGAAGCCTCACACCTCAGATTGTGCAACCCACACAAATAGGCTCCCCTAATTCAGCGGCTTGGGGACCGCAGAAGCTGCTGGTGTGATTTACCTGGTGGTCTTTCGGGCACCGCAAGCTCTGTGTGATCTCTGCTGCCACCAGCCGGCTTTGCTATCCTTTTGGGATTCGCATAAATGAAGAAGTGTTCCTGCACACGAAAGCTTATGCCCACAAATTAAACTTTGTGGGTCTTAAAGATGCCACTGGACTCGAAAGGTGTTCCATTGCTTCAGACCAACAGATGATCCACCTGAACAGGTCAAGCAAATATTTCTGTATCCAGCTGGGTTAATCATGCAGGTTGTTTCCGAGAGCCGCCACATTGGTCTGCAGTCGAACAGCTTGGTTCGAGTCCAGAGGTACCGTAGAGAGAGTCAGTTTGGTGTAGTGGTTAGGAGTGCAGACTCAAATCTGGGAGAAGCGGGTTTGATCCCCCACTCCTCCACATGCAGCTGCTGGTGTGACCTTGGGTCCATCACAAGTTTTTTCAGAGCTGTTCTCTCAAGGGCAGTTCTCGAGAGAGCTCTCTCAGCCCCACCTACCTCACAGGGTGTCTGTTGTGGAGAGGGGAAGGGAAAAGGATTCTCAACCACTCTGAGACTCCTTTGGGTAGTGAAGGGTGGAGTATAAATCCAATCTCCTCCTCCTCCTCCTCCTCCTCCTCCTCCTCCTTCTTCCCAAAGAGATTTTCCAGGTAGAAGTTTTCGGGAGTCAGTGCTGCTGGATCTCTAAGGTGCTTCTGGACCTGGATCTAGCTAATCATGCCAGTGTTTGTCAGCAAACTCCCGAACTGCCTGCTAGCCCTGTAAGGGCCCTCGCAGCAGCTTGCGGTGCAATCCGAAAGCAACAAATAAAAACACAGCCGCAGTCCAAGGTCTTTTTGAGACACTGTGCCTGACAGTCCCTGCGAGTTCTGGAGCCGAACATCAGACACCAGGCCAGGCTCCTACATCTGCACGGCTTCTGGCACAGGGACCCTTGGCCTGTTTTCCATTTTTCGAGGAACAGAAAACAGCTGGGTTCCCCACCGATTGAGCCACGGGTCAGCGGGAACCGTCCACTTCAAATCCAGAGCTCCCTTCTGTGTGTAAGCAGAACCGATCCGGATCCGTCCCGGAAACAAGTTAGAGCTAATTCTTGGCCCGTTTCTAGTTGACTCCTTTTTTCCAGTGACCGAAAAAATCCCGGCCCAGTTCTTTGGGTTTGGGAACTGGCAATAGATGGGGGGGGGGGTGCCTGGGGGAGGCTGGAATACCGCACTGTGGAGAGAGAAACCTGGCGCTGGCTATATTGAAAGCAAACAATCCCAGGCCCCTTGGGCACTGTAGCAAGGGTGGTGTATGGGGCAGCGCCGCCAACGGGTGGGCAGGCCTCCCAACCAAACAGGCCTTTAACAACATGTCCCCACCCCACCCCGCTCCACTTTCCAAACTCCAGAGTTCACAGGGGAAAAAGAGACCGTTGCGTGTGTCTTGCAGGGCGCAACCGGAGGTCACCCGCACGAGGACCGAGACCAGTCC